AGAAAGAGTTCTCCCAAAATGCTGTGCAGTCTCCTTGCAAATCATTAGCACATCTCTAAAGCAGTGGTTCTCACTTTCCTAATGTTGTGACCTTTAACACAGTTAGTGCTGTGGTAAACCTCCAGCCTTAACATTATTTTGTTGCTACTTTATAACTAATTTTGCTATCATTATGTAAAGATCTTTTCCGGCAGGCCTAGGTGACCTTTGTGAAAGAGTCCTTTGGCACCCTCCCCCCACCCCATCCCCCTGTCTTGACCCACTAATTAAGATCACCTTTTCTAAAGGTATGGGATGATGGAAAGACCAAATAATAAAAATAAAAACATAAAAGTTGTCTAGAGTCCTCAGCACTGCCAAGGCCAGGACCCATTCTCATGCCTCACCCTTTTGTGATAAGCATGAATCCTGGCATCACCTGAGATTTCACCCAAGCAGATGGCTGCTCTCCAGGAATACCTGTCTAAGCAACTAGAGCCACAAGCTACATCACTGGCTATGCTTAACCTTTTCCAATACACTTACCATACAACTCCTTTACCTCCTCCACTGAAATGTGGGGTACCTTAAAGTTCAGGCTTCCCAGAATGTCCCCATCCTTGTCCTTTTGACAAGAGATCAAAGGTGTCTGATGCCAATACCCTAGCTTGAGTAAAGGCATTATTGTTGTGTACCTTCCACAAGTGTGCATTGTCTCACCCAAGAGGAGTACAGGGTGCAGGTGGCCAACAGGCAGAGGCACTCTGTGCTACCTAAACCAACTCCTTCCCTACTCCTACTTACTTCTAAATAAACATAGGTGTTCCTGCAAAGCTACATTATGCACCTACCTTAAGGTGGCCAAGACAAAAGGCAAATCAGCCTAACTACTGTTTGGGTGGGGAGGTGAAGTTAAAGAGGGAGCCAAAAGTAAGGCAAAAGGGGGGGTTGACCATGTAAGGACAGCTGGGTTAGCAGGGTAGACTATACCAACCTGCTTTCAAGGGTTTGTGTGTGCCAGATGACCTACTACAGACAAAAGCAGCAAAAACCACAACTTATTCACTGTTATGGTGGGCAACATCTCCAGGCCTGACTGAAGGAGTCACTCCTGACATGGTGATTTGGGGGAGAGGCAATGGATTGAATTTGGGAAGCAAAAGGAAAGATTTTCTGTGTAGGGAAATATCCAGGCTGAAGGTGCCATACTTGGGTAGGTCAGATACAGGGGATTGATTCTTAAAGTCAGGAAGAACATGAAATGTGACTGAGGCCCAAATTCGAGGCTATGAAATCAAGTCACCCTGGCTCCAGCCCCTCTACCACATAGGACTGTCAGAAATTGCTGGCATTGAGACAGTCGACGGACAGTACCTACGAGCGCTCTGCCTAAGCTTTGTGAATGTGTAGCTACACTAGTGGCATCAGATCATCACTGACATCCAGTCTGAATACAGATGCTACTGTTCTGGTATTGCTTGTTCCAGCTCACTGTCTATAAGCACCATGAAGTTTTCAGAAGTAAAAAGGCTGGTAAACCACAAATGCCCCATGTTGGACCCCCACAGAGAAAACAAAACTCAAAGACACACCCATCAAAGAGTTCACAGAGGACCGCGGGTGATTGTCAGGATGTGATCTCTGCATTTCCTTGTACAACTTCCTACTAATTCTGCCCTCTTCCTTCCCCTCTTGACTTTAGGTGTCCTCTACCCTTTTTGGCTTTGGGGTTTTTTTTTTTGTTGTTGTTTGTTTTAGTGGTGGTATTGGTATTTTTTTGTTGTTGTTGTTTTGGTTTTTTGAGACAGGGTTTCTCTGTGTAGCCCTGGCTGTCCTGGAACTCACTCTGTAGACCAGGCTGGCCTCGAACTCAGAAATCCGCCTGCCTCTGCCTCCCAAGTGCTGGGATTAAAGGCGTGCACCACCACTGCCCATCGGTATTGTTTTTAAGATAAGGTTTTTCTGTACCCTGGCTGTCTGGAATTTGCTCTGTAGACCAGGTTGACCTTGATCTGCCTGGGATTAAAAGTGTGAGCCACCATGCCCTGCCCCTTTTCATACTTTTTAAACATTTTGATACAGTTCTCTCTAAAGAAACTAAATAGAAAATAAAAGAAGAAGAAACTAAATAGTCCAGTTGTTATGGTGCAGGCCCCAAGTAGACCTCTATGAGTTCAAGGCCCATTGGGTCTACAAAGAAAATTCCAGGACTCCCAGGGGTACACAGTGAAACCTTGTCTCAAATGAAAGAAAGATACCCTTACAATGCTATAATCCTTTTTGTCTACTCAGTATAAATAGTGCTGGGGCAATGTTTCCTTTGCCATCTGACAGAAGGCTGGAGAAACATTCAGGAGACAGTGCTGCTTTCTGGCTCTGGTGGTTTCTCCATGTTTAAGGTTCTAGGATGCAGAACAGCCAGTGGCATCCAGTGTCCAAGCTGTTTTATAGCAGCATATTGAGTGGGCCATCTGCCATAAACTGCTTTAGCAAGAACTCTAGCGCAGTGCACAAATGGGATGTCAGCGACTTCTCTGCCATTCAGTGAGCTTGATCCATGCCCTTTTCAACAATATCTGGACCTCAGATTGCTGATACAGACTTTTAATCTCCAGTGGCTGTGGCTGCTCTGAATTTCTGCTTTTCCTCTGTATGCTTGATTTCTCTTGAGTTCCAACCCAGCCCAGGCCTCATAGACCCTGCCTCAAAAAGAAGACAACATAATAAACGCACATAAGACAATTTACCTCTCTAAGTATGTCTCAGTAGCAGTGAATGCATGATCATGTACCTTCCCAAGCTGGGACTCGTATTCACTATGCAATTGTATTCTTCGTCCTCCCAATCCAGTCCTGCTTTTGTTGTTTGCCAGTGCTGATAAGCCTTCTCCTACATTTTGATCTCTATGAATTTGGTCATTCATATAAATGAAACCATATATTTGTTCTTTGGAGGATGGGTTATTTTGTGTAGCAAAAACATCCTTAAGGGCCATCACCCCTGTCCTAGCCTATATCTGGATTTCATTCTTAAATCCGCTTTTAAAGCATATACAATTTTGTGCATATTTGATGCCATTAAAAATATTCTTGAGAAAAAGCTGAAGAGATGGCTCAGTGGTTAAGAGCACTTACTGCTCTTGCAGAGGTCTCCAGATGGGTTCCCATATCAGGAAGCTCGTTAACTCCAGCTCTAGGGGATCCAACACTTCTGCCCTCAAAGCTCCAGGGGATTTTATGTCTCTGACACACACACACACACACACACACACACACACACACACCTGCACCTAGTTTTAAACTAATAATTTAAAAATAAAAATCTGTCAGGGCTGAAGCAATGGCTTAGCACTTAATGCTTTTTCAGAGAACTGGTTTGGTTCCATGTACCCTTGTCACCCAGCTTGCAACTGCTGGTTACAAACCAACACCTCTGACCTCCCTAGGCACCTCTGACCTGCACTCACTGCACACTAATATGTACATACCCATCCACACTCCTACATACACACACAAAAAAGAAAACAAAGCAAAAAGTAGGGCCAGCAAAATGGCTCTAAAAGTTAAGGGGCCTGCTGCCAAACCTGAAGATTGGAGTTCAATGCTGGGGACCCACATGATGGCAGGAGAGAACTGACTTCTCACAAATTGTCCTCTGACCTCCACGCATATGCCATGGCACAGGTTTCTACACACATACACATGAACACACACAAAATAAAATTGAAAAACAAATCAAAAACAACTTTAGAAGTTAGAGTTGGTTCAAACCTGAACCTGAGGCAGGAGGATCACATACATATTCAAGGCCTGTGTGTACTACAAAGTAAATTCAAGTCCAATCTGGCAATTTAGTGAAACTTTATTTCAAAGTAAAAAGTGAGAAGTGGGGGGGGGGGGGGGATAAGGTATAGTGGGGACATAGCTCAGCAGGACATTTGTCTAGCAATCACAAGACCCTGGGTTCAAGCCCCCCTCAAAAAATTCAGAAAAAAACAAACAAAAAACCCTCAACTTTAAATCCTATCATGGTGGCACAAGCCTGTAATTCCAGCACTGAAAAGACTGAGTCAGAGAGATTGTGAGCTCAAGGCTAGCTTTGGCAACATGGCAGGACTTTCTCTAACAAAACTAACAATCTTTAGAAATAAAACTCGCTGGGCAGTGGTGGGACACACCGTTAATCCCAGTACTGGAGTTCAAGGCCAGCCTGGTCTACAGAGTGAGTTCCAGGACGGCCAAAGCTATACAGACAAACCCTGTCTGCAAGAAAGAGGGAGATAGAGGGAAGGAAAAAAGGGAGTGGGAGAGGGGAAGAGAAAGAGAGAAGAAAGAACTCTTAACATGAATATAATCTGGCTTTCTCAATTCCCATGGGGAGGGCTATGGACAATAGCACTTACTTTTCACTTTTGGAAAAATAAAAAGGGGGAAAAAAAAAAGAACAAAGGCCGGTAGTGGTAGTGCACACTTTTAGGAGGCAGACACAGGCAGGCAGATCTCAGTGAATTCAAGGACAGCCTGGTTTATTGGTACCAAGACAGCCAGGGCTATGAAATAAATATCCAATCCAAAAAGAAGAAGAGAGAGAGAGGGGGAGGGAGAGGGAGAAGGAGAGGGAGAGACAGAAATTTAGTGCAATCAATCTCCTGAAGTCAGCCGGGTGGTGGTGGCGCACGCCTTTAATCCCAGCAGAGGCAGGCGGATTTCTGAGTTCGAGGCCAGCCTGGTCTACAGAGTGAGTTCCAGGACAGCCAGGGCTACACAGAGAAACCCTGTCTCGAAAAAACCGAAAAAAAACAAACAAACTCCTCCAGTCTAGATCCCGCCCCCTACAGGCCCATGGAAGAACTACAACTTCCAGGGGGCTCTGGTCCCGGCCCTGCTCGCCCCGGCTCACGGAGGACTCCATTTCCCAGCAATCCCACTGCCGTCAGGGCTGTATCTAAGCGCCCTCTCGCGGCGCATAGAGGCGGCCTGTAGTTCCCGGCGGCCCTCGCGGCAGTCTGAGGGCGTCGGGGCGGTTCGCGATGGCTGCGGCTGGTTCCGCTGCCGTGTCAGGGGCCGGGACCCCAGTGGCCGGGCCCACAGGCCGCGACCTCTTTGCCGAGGGGCTCCTGGAGTTCCTGCGACCTGCTGTGCAGCAGCTCGACTCTCACGTGCACGCGGTCAGGTGCAGGACCGGGTTGCTGGGGGCGGGGCCTATGGAATTAGCTTTGTAGGGGCGGGGCCCCGAAAAGGTACTAGATACATTCTTGAGACACACTGTTGTTGAGACTGGGTAAAGAGGCGGAAGGGCCTGGGCGAGGCCTTTGAGGTTGGCGTGTCTCAGTATTTGGGGAATAAGTAGAATTTGTTTCCCGCGTTCCAGTCACTGACTGTTGTAGGGTTTTGTACCACTTTGCAGAGAAAGCCAAGTAGAGCTCCGGGAACAAATTGACAACTTAGCTACAGGTGAGTGAGTACCCAGAATACCTAGAATCCCTGATCTCACTTTCAGGAACTTTGTTTTCCCAGGTTTTAGGCTAGGTTTCTGTCACTTGCTTCTCAATATAATAACTACCCACAGACTCTAATTTCCGGGAATATTTTAGGACAGAATGGAAGAAGGGAAGGTGTCTGTGGCTCACACACAAGACTGCAAGAGTATTTTTCATCCCATTCCTCTCTTACATTCCCTAAGAACAAAAAATGAGCCATTAGATGTTGGCTACCCATTTCCTCTTCCCAGAACTGTGCCGGATCAATGAGGATCAGAAGGTGGCCCTGGATCTGGACCCCTATGTTAAGAAGCTGCTTAATGCCAGGCGACGAGTTGTCTTGGTCAACAATATTTTACAGAATGCACAGGTAAAAAAAAAAAAAAAAAAAAAAAAAAAAAAGAATTCTGGCAGAGCATGGTGGTGCATGCTGTAATTTCAGCATTTGGTAGGCTAATGCAAGAAGAATGACTTGAACTTTGAGCATAGCTTGAACTATCAGATCAGCTAGGGCTACATAGCATGGCCCTCTCAAAAAAAAAAAAAAATCTTGTTCTTTATCCTGCTTTACGTCTTCAACGTAGTGAAAGCAACTGTGAGGGACGGAGTGGTGTTAACTAATCTGATAATAAAGGTCCATACTCGCCCCACCCCATTACTGGGCCTCAAACTTAGGTCCTCTTAAATACTAGACAAGTGCTCATAAACTCAATTCTTAATCTCTAGTGGCTGTCATTTACAAGCTTATTTTACTTAAAGGGCTGGCTTGAAAAGAGCCGAAGCCAGCTGGGCAGCCAGCAATATCTGAGTTTGAGGCCATCCTGGTCTACAGAGCAAGTTTCAGGACTACACAGAGAAGAAACAGTCTAAGGATGGGAGAATAGGGGAAGTAAGCCCTTTCAGCAACTACTTGACTCAGTTAAAACCTTTTACAGCAGTCATTAGATTTCCCCATCTTCCTGTCTTATAGGAACGACTAAGGCGGTTAAACCACAGTGTGGCCAAGGAAACAGCTCGCAGGAGAGCCATGCTGGATGCAGGAGTTTACCCTCCTGGTTCTCCAAGCAAATAAGCACGGGCCTGCGACCTGAGTATACAAGTACTGTTCTCCAGTGGCTTTGTCTGGTAGACATGAGAAGATTCCAGGAAAGTCTCTGTAGACCTTTGTTTGCAGTATGTACTCATTCATGTAGCAGCCTTGAGAAACATGCATACAGGAGGACTACTTCCTAAAGAACCTCCATTACAGCTTATCCTTCCAAGAATGAGCCTCTGCCTTTTGGGTTTTGTTTCTTGAGACATGGTCTCAATATGTAGGCCAGGCTGGCCTCAAACATTTCCTTTTGCCTTAGCCTCCTGAATGCTGGGATTATAATAGGCATGTGTCAGGGTGCCTGACTCAAGCTTCTATACATTTTCCCCCAGAGAATGTTAAGTAGATTAGGCATCATGTGGTAGAGAAAACACCAGAGATTTGGTGCAGAAAGTATACTTCTACTTCTTTCCCTCTGCTTCTCCATAGTTCCCCTCAAAAGGTAATAACCTTCCCAGAATCATACACAATGTTTAGGTTAACTCCTATTAACAAATATCACAACTGTTGCCTTCATTACTGCCCAAGGAGAGCAGGACAGATAACATGAGGATCCAAGGTCAAGGGCAGAGCCTTGACAGCTTAGTCTCTAAGCTTTTGTGATTTTGTTGTTTAGGCTACATAATTGAAGGGCTAGAGGGATGGCTCAGTGGTCAAGAGCACTGGTGGTTCTTCCAGATGGAGTTCAGTTCCCAGCACCTACAGTGACTCACAGCAGGCTCTTAACTCCAGTCCCAGGGGAATCCAGTGACCTGGATTTTTGGTGGCCCAGCACACATTATGCAGATGTACATGCAAGCAAAACATCCATTCTCTTAAAGTTACATCTTAAATAAGTGCCATCCTTTGCAAGCCTAGTTAACCAGTGTTAACCATACTGTTACTCTTATTATCTGGGTCTGGGCAGTTTTCTTTACAATTCAGGATTTAAGTCAAGGTAAATAATTCATCCTCTTGACCACCCTGGCTTGACTATGTTAATATTAAGAATTGCTGAGCATTATTAAATAAATGCTTGTATTGGTTATTTTAACAAAAGAATGTATCGTATTATGGTCACCTTGACCCATGTTTTGGGGCCTATTTTGAGACATGAGAATGTGAGGTTATCAAGCTTCCAAGAGAAGGGAATGCTGGACTCTGCCATTTACCCCTTTTCTCTGTCCGGGCACTGAGCTCCTAAGATACTTTCACCCACAGTTAGGGTCAATCCTTTGCAGAAAGTTCAGGTATTTTAGGCCAAATTGACATGAAAATTAACCATCACAATGCTTAAATGGTATTCCAGGAGTCCATTACTTTTAATTTACGTACTTTGAAACAGCAATATCAGTGTTTATAATAAAGGACTCTACTTGAATTCTAATGAAGTGTATAGAAGCCAAAAGTAGTTGCTACATATTGAAGAAAAATAAAATCAAAAGCCCCAGTAGGAAGTACTTTAATCATTTTTTCTTAGAAAAAAAAAAAAAAATCCCCAGATACTCAATGACAGTTACAACGTTTCAACAAAAAATACTGGTTGGGAGTGGTTAGGTTTAAATATTGGGAATGTGTGGCATTCTGCTTCATTACAGATGGACGGATGGCATGTGCAGTCACAAATGGGAGACTTCTAGCTGCTTAGCCACCATCAAAACAGTAGCGTTTTTTTTTTTTCTTTACAGTTTGTTTTCCTTCCTGCTATCTCCCTATGCTGCAGAAATGCCACCATCTAAAGCCCCATGGTGGCTGGCTTAGGTTCATCTTCCTTTGGGGAGAAACAGTAAAGGGAAGGTCATTCCTGCGTCTCCATGCTTTCTTCTTCTTCCCCTTGAGGTGGTTCTTCTGTGTTCTCCTCTTCTTCCTCTCCCTCCTTCTTCTCAGGCGGCTTCTCATAAGCCTTTTCTGAAGGTGTCACAATCACTCCATCCCAGGTAGAGATTTCAGAAGCAAGATCTATAAGAGACAGGATAAAACCAACTTCTTATGAATAGCCCAGTAAACAACACAAGCTGTATTCATTAATATTACACCACCTTAAGATACAGCTTTTCTATAGTTCAGAACCCCTGAACCACACCACATAGATAACTTACAGCTGGCATCCCCCTCTTGGCCAAGGATCTTCCTAAAGCCTCCATGGGAGAGAATTCGAACCAGAGTCTGAGCTGTGTAGCAGACCATATCCTGAAGAACAAGGAGGGGAAAGTAAAGGAGCCAAAGTAAACAGACTATACATGACTAACATCCATGTGAAACAGGTCCCCTGGTCCTTGGCCTTCTGGCCAGAACTCCACTCATTTTGTGGTTGTCTTCATACCTGCTGTTCTAGGGTCATAACTGTGTGTACCCTGAAGTTACCACTCTCACAGGGGTCAGTGATGCCCACTGACCCTGGCAAGAACAGTCCTGCAGCCAGAATCTGCAAGCAGCGCCTGAAACACAAAGACATTTAGAAAGCATACCAAACAGCTTATAACCAAAACCCAGAGAAGCGTGTTATACCTGTATGCCACATTCAGGGCCAAAGGCTGTCTGGTAGGGTTGTTCATCACAGCATAGTGCCCCTGGAAAACAGTAAGTCTGGTAGGTGTGCTACTATCTGGCAATTCCATATTTAAACAAAACTTTTAAGTCATGAGGAAAACTAGCAATAATGAGCTGATAGCAGTAACTACTATTCTACTGAGTACTAAAACCTCAGTCAAACAGTGGACTTCCAGTCTTCTCAGACTGTTCACTCACTAAACTTTCCTGTCTCCCTAAGTAACCCTGACTATCCTCTAACTAAAAATACTCTTGCCTCAGCCTCTCTTAAGACTGACCAAAATTTTTCTAACGCTTCATTGAATTTCTAATGTTGGTAGGTTTAAGAGTAATCAAGTTTCAGGTGTTTATTGATGCCTTTAATCCCAGTACTAAGGAGGCAAAAACAGACCTGAGTCTGAGGGCAGCCTGGTCTACAAAGTAAGTTCCACAACAGCCAGGGCTACACAAAGGAACCCTATTTCAAAAAAGATAGAAAGAAAAGTAAATCTAGACAAAGAGGAGTGCCCCCAGTGCACCCCTGTTCCTTTGTGCAGTGCTGGCAACTGAACTAGGGACTCTCACATACTAGTGAAGCACTCTACACAGGCTACACCCTCAGCCTCCCCTTTTTACTTACAAGTAGGTCAAGGATCCAGGGTGTGAGAGGCTCAAAGCCAGGAAAACGAATCCGTAAGTCCTTTAGCAATCTGATGAGAACTTTAACTCTGAATAAGAGACCCAGGAATTAGAGATAATAACATCGTATTGATATTTCTACACATTAGGAATCAAAGCTAGCTGTACTATTTAGAGAAATATACAGTGCCTACCAGCTGGCTCAGCAAAGAAACGCATTTGTACCATAAGTCTGACAAACCTGAGTTCAATCCTTAAGACTCGCAGAAGAGAACTCCTTAAAGTTGTGCTCCAGACTACACACAACTATGACATGTATGTACGTACATGCATGCATAAAACAAAATTATACATATATATATTTATATATTTTAAGTAAAAAAAAAATCACATCTGAAACAGTTCTATCAGATAAAGTAGGGGGTCTGTACTGTTTGTTATTTATGGTTGTTGGATTACAGGCCAAAACCATTGCACTCCCAGAAAGATTATTTTATACAAGTGACCAATGAGACTTACGTGGACTGAGAGGCATTTTCTTCAAACCAGCGGGCATGCCGGATGGCCGCTAAGGCACTCTGCAACACCTTGATATCCACTGAAGACAAGTACAACAGGCTAAAAATCTTTCCTATTACGTGTGCAATATATTCAATCCCAATCAATACCCATCCAGAAGTGTGACAAGGCTAGGTGGCAAGCCATTTGTCTAAACACTGTTGTCACTCCCCAGCTAAATCTGAAAACATGTAACACATTTATCTTTTCCAGTCATCTATTTCCCTTCACAAATATTTATATAAACTTTTACTTTTATCTTTTTCTTCAAGTTTTTTTTTCTTCTACAATCCTTTATAAGACTTTGAAAATGTTGGAGATTGGTTCTATGTTATGATTCAATCGGGAATCTGCATGTCCAGATGCTGAAGGTCCTCGTCTCCAATTCGATTAGCCCCGGACAGAACAATTAGAGTTGCTCCCGTAGGACGCAGAGAGGACTGGAGAATACCAACCAGCCATGGGATATTTTGGTGGGCATGAGGCAGAGGGAGGTTTAGGAGTGCCCAGCCTTGAGGTAGCCAAAGCATTTTAAAAAACAAGCTGCCGGGCAGTGGTGGCACACGCCTTTAATCCCAGCACTTGGGAAGCAGAGGCAGGCGGATTTCTGAGTTCAAGGCCAGCCTGGTCTACAGAGTGAGTTCCAGGACAGCCGGGGCTACACAGAGAAACTCTGTCTCAAAAAAAAACAAAAACAAAACAAAACCAAGCTAATGTCTGTATCTTTCATTTGCAGATCCAAAATATAGCTCCTGGGCAGGTGTGAGAGAGTGCCATCTGCCAGGAACAACAAAAACTCCACAACAGAAAAGTCACTAGGACGCTGGTAAAATTAACTACAAATTACAGGGAAGGTAAAACTCCTTTACAGTCAATAAAATACTAAAATTTCCAGAAAATGTCAAAGCTTTGGCTATTTGGCTAGCTGTGCCCCTAACCCCAACCCCCATATTTCTCCGCAATGGGGAGAGGGGAGACTTACGATGGAGTTCTGGATCGAGTTTTCGGAGATTGGGTGGCACTGTTGTAATGAGAATTTTCACCGTAGCATCAGAAGAGCTAATTTCAAAGCCAGTTTCATTAGTCAGCATGGTCAAAACTAAAAGAACAAGATAATCAAGATGTAAAACATATTTGTTCTGTTTTGATTTTTAAAAACATTGTATTTCTTTAGAGCATGTGAGTAAGAACACTCACATTTCTATAGAGACCAAAGGACAACCCTTAGGAACCCGTTCTCTCCTACCATGCAGGTCCCACAGAATGAATTAAAAGTCATCAGGCGTGGTGGCACATTTACCCACTGAGCTATAGAACTTTTTTCTTTTCTTTTCTTTTTTGGTTTTTGTTTTTCTAGACAGGGTTTCTCTGTGTAGCCCTGGCTGTCCTGGAACTCACTCTGTAGACCAGGCTGGCCTCAAACTCAGAAATCCCCCTGCCTCTGCCTCCCAAGTGCTGGGATTAAAGGCGTCCACCACCACTGCCCAGCGCCATATAGCTTTTGAGACAAGATCTCATGTAGCTCAGGCTGCCTCCCAACACATCATGAAGCCAAGGATGACTTTGAATTCCTCCTTCCTCCACCTCAGCAGTCTGGAGCAGAAGCACGTGCCAGCCAAGCGGTGTGTGTAACGCTGAGTACCGATCAGACCTTCACACACGTTAGACAAGATACCAACTAAGCGGTATCAACCCAGCCTTCATTTTGTCATTTTGTTTGTGACATAAGGTCACATATACATATGTTTGTGACATAAGGTCTATGTATACAGTTCAAGCTGTCCTTAAATTACCAATCCCCCTGCCCCAGTTTTCAACTGCTGGGGTTAGAGGTATGCCACACCTGGTTAAACATGTCAGTTTTCTGGCAGTAAGTTATTAGTTTTTGAGACAAGATGTGTATGTATTGAAGGCTGGTCTCAGACTTCAGACCCTCCTGCTTATACTCCAAGTGCTGGGATTGATAAGCATGTACCAAAAACCATCAGTAAAAGCTTAGATACCAGTGAACGGAAAGAGGCAGCAAGGAGATGACCAACCTGACTGCATGAAAAAGTTAGGGGAGAGGACAGGACATGAGACCTGAAGCAACAAGAGGCCTGAATATGAAACTCAGTGCAGACTACTGCCCAGCATGTATGAGAGGTGCTGTGTTCAACCTCAACACCACACACACACACTCACACACAAGCATCAGACCTTTAAACTAAGGGTTATTTCTGAATCACAGAGTTACAGAAATGAAGAATTCAGTGGTGCATCCCTATCTATGATCCTAGCACTTGGGAGCCTGAGACAGGAGGAATGTAATTTGAGGCCAGCCTATCTCATAACCCACCTTTCATAATAAAAGAAAATAAGCTGAATATCTGAGACTCCTGCTAACCTTTGACCTACACAGACCTGACTAATTTGTAAGACCAGCTGCTGTGAACACTACATACACATTTAGCAACAAACTCAAACTCCAACCTTCGGAGGGATCCTGTGCCCTTAGGCTTTCCACAACTTTGTTCCCCAGGGCGGCAACAGCTTCCACTAGATTGGAGAAAAGGGACATAAGGAATGTTACAGTAATGTATTTCATGTAGCTTTCCTCTATCAGTAAACAACTTGGCATCTCTATTTCTACACCACAGACTGAAGCTTACTCAACTAGAGTGAACACTTTTACCAGGGCAATGAAACAGACAGAATTTGGAAGATGCAGGGAACAAGAATCCTGAGTATACACATCTTTTTTTCTTTCTCATTTTTTGGTTTTCTTTTGTTTTTATTTTTTTTTTTTTTGAGACAGGGTTTCCCTGTATAACCCGGCCTCAAACTCAGATACCAGGCTGCTGCTGCCTCTGCCTCTGCCTCTGCCTCCCGAGTGCTGGGACTAAAGGTGTATGCCACTACCACTTTACACATATACACCACCACCAAGCAAACAAACAATCTGGTATAATGGTATACACCTTTAATAACAACACTCAAAAGGTAAAGACAAGCAGATCTCTGCAAGTCAGAAGACAGATAGGGCTACATATAGGGAAACCTTGTTTCAAAACAAACAATAAGTAAATAAATAAACAATAAATTTGCTATTTTCCTTCCATACATTCACATACAAATAATGATGAAATAAATGAATCTGGGCTTCAATTATTACTATCCCTAAATCTAATCTCAATGCCTAGGGAAGTGGGCTGGAGTGGCTAGAGAAATGCCTCAGAGGTTAAAAGCACTTCTTGTAGAGGACTTGGATTCAGTTCCCAACATCCATTTGGTGGTTCATAATCATCTCTAACTCCAGTTCCAGGAGATCCAAAGTCCTCTTCTAACCTCCATAAGCCCCAAGGCATCTACATGGCATGCATGCATGCATACATACATACATACATACATACATACACCCATAGCACTAATAGAGATAAATCCATTAAAATCTTTGAAAGAAAAGAAAAAGAGTGGGCTGAGACTCCTGCTAACCTTTGACCTACACTGACCTCACTGCAATGGCCACTCCATATTGAGTAACAAACTCAAACCCTGAGGGACCCTGTAAGGCCCTGTGCACCATCCCCAACGGAGAAAGATTAAGAGATACTTACAAGTTGGCAGAATCTTTAGTATTACCACCAGGTCAGCCACATTGTGTCCTGTGGTCATTGTCCCCTTTTTATATGATCCTACCTGCCGGACTTCTTCAATTTGCTGTGGAAAGGGATTTCAGGGAAGTTTAGAAAAACAAAGGTGTGAGTCCTCATAGAACCATTTCAGCTGCTTCTTTTTTTTTTATTTTTTTTATTTTTTTTTAAGACTTATTTATTTTATGTATGAGCAAAGTGTCACTCTCTTCAGACACACCAGAAGAGGGCATCAGATTGCATTGCAGATGGTTGTGAGCCATAATGTGGTTACTGGGACTTGAACTTAGGACCTCTGGAAAAGCAGTCAGTGCTCTTAACCACTGAGCCATCTCTCCAGCCCTCAGCTGCTTCTTTTTTTTTTTTTTTTTTGGTTTTTCGAGACAGGGTTTCTCTGTGTAGCCCGGGCTGTCCTGGAACTCACTCTGTAGACCAGGCTGGCCTCGAACTCAGAAATCCTCCTGCCTCTGCCTCCCAAGTGCTGGGATTAAAGGCGTCCGCCACCACCGCCCGGCTTTTTTTTTTTTTTTTTTTTTTTTTGCAGCTGCTTCTTAATACCCAGATTTGGAAGCAACTATGATGAAATCACATCCCCCAGATAACCCCAGAGAAGCCTAGGCATGGCTAGCCAACCAGTGCTACAATCTTGTCCTCAAGATCAGGATTATACAATTCTCTGTAGGTTTCCATTTTAGACTCTGATTTGGACAACAGACAACTGAAAGGTTAACAGGCAAGGGCCAAGGAAACTTCCATACCACCAGGGATGCCATTTCTGGATTAAGTCATCAAAAACTCACCACTTCAAATGTCCCTGGAGCCACAATCAAGTTGTCAATCACATTGTTGATTTTTGTCACCAAAGAAAGGATAGAAGCCTGAAAATATCACAAAGTAAAAATATCCTAAAGCCAAAAATTACACACAACATATATTTAATCTGTATCATCATCACCAGACTCTCCACCAACAGTAAGAGAGATGAATAATTACACACCCAGAGGAGTTTGGACTCTGACAACACTCTTGATGGGAACGACACCTAGGGCCTCAAGTGTCTACCACTGGCTTATAATGCCAGGCAAGACAACACTCTCCTTAACCAGATAGAGTAACAGTTCTTTAACTCTAGACTTTTAACATAGTCCGAGGAAAGCACATACCTGCTCAGCAGAATTGGGAGCAAGGTCTTGATTCCGCTTCAGCAAGGCTTCACTGAAGGAGGTTTCATCAGGTGCTGGCTTCACCCGGGGAAAAGCCATTTCACACTAAACCAGAAATTAAATTATGTTATTTATCAAAAATAATTCACAGAAGAGGGACTGAAGAGATGGCTCAGTGGTTTAAGAGCACTGACTCCTCTTCCAGAAGTCTTAAGTTCAATTCTTTTTTTTTTGTTTTTTTGTTTTTTTGTTTTTCGAGACAGGGTTTCTCTGTGTAGCCCTGGCTGTCCTGGAAGTCACTCTGTAGACCAGGCTAGCCTTGAACTCTCGAACTCAGAAATCCGCCTGCCTCTGCCTCCCAAGTGCTGGGATTAAAGGCGTGCGCCACCACCGCCCGGCTTAAGTTCAATTCTGAGTAACCATATGGTGGCTCACAACCATCTGTAATGGAATCCAATTCCCTCTTCTGACATGTAGACATATGTGCAGGCAGGGCACTGATATACATAAGCTACATAAATAAACCTTAAAAAATGGATCTCTGTAAATTTGAGGCCAGCCTGGTCTACAGAGTAAGTTCCAGGCCAACAAGAACTAAGCAGAGAAACCCTGTCTTAAAAAAAAAAAAAAAAATTGAGAAAGAAAATACACAAGAGATTTTTTTTCCTGGTACTACAATAGGGGGGAAAACTGTTATATCCTTGTGCTCTTAACCTCGGAGCTATCTCTCCAGTCCTAAAGCCAGTACACCTTACAATACTTGTTTTTAACTCCTGCAAATGTTTAAGTCCAAATACAAACCTTGTTTTTCTGTTGTTTTATTTTTGAGACAGGGTGTTATATAAATCACAGGCTTACCTGAATTTGCTATGTAGCTGAGGATGACTGTAATCTGATCCTCCTGTGTCTTCCTCCTTTGTACTTGGATTATAGGTGTGTATCTCCATACTTATATACGAAATGCTCTGGGCTCTGTGCATGCCGGGCAAGCACTCTACCAACTAAGCTACAACAGCAGCCTAAGTACTCATTACCTTTATATTAAAAGAAATAAAGGTCGGGCAGTGGGGGCCCTTATCTTTAATCCCAGCACTCAGGAGACAGAGGCAGGCAAATCTCTGTACATTCCAGGCCAGCCTGGTCTATAGAGCGAGTTCCAGGACAGCCAAGGCTACACAATGAAACCCTGTCTCTCTGTCTCTCTGTCTCTCTGTCTGTCTCTCTCTCTCTCCCTCTCTCTCTCTCTCTCTCTCTCTCACACACACACACACACAGAGAAATTACCCAGAAGCTAGAGAGAACTCAGCAGGTGAGAGTATATGCTACTCTAGCAGAGGGCCCAGATATGAGCCTAGCATATCTATGGCAGCTTACAACCTCTGACAAGCCTCTTACAGCCTCCAAAGGCACCAAGCACACATGGAAACATGTATACAGACAAGCACTTTATACATACACAGGAAACTTTTAAAAAGGCAAGCCAGGTGGCAGTGGTGGCACACACTCAGGAGGCAAACACAAGTGGGTTTCTAGTTCCAGGACAGCCAGAGCTACACAGAAAAACCCAGTGTAAAAATCCAAGCATAAATGAAGAAAGGAACTGATTCTAATCCACTGTGTATTATAGTATACACCTTTAGCACTCTGGAGGCAGAGGCAGGCAGATCTCTGAGTTCCAGGCCAGCCAAGGTTATATATACAGATACTGTCTCAAAATAAGCCCTAAATATTATTTTTAAAAAAGATATTTTTCTAGACAAATATTACAATCAAACTGTACAGGAATTATCTTCCCTACCTCTTTACACTATTTTCTATGTTTTGTTCTTGTTGAGACACATCACTATAGTAGCCTAGGCTGGCCTTGAACCCTCAACATGGTCCTACTGCTCAAGCTTCCATTCCAGGGATTACAAAAGGATTACAGTATCTTTAAAGACTAGCTGGTGAATTGGCTTGTTTTTTTTTAATATTTATTTATGTATATATATGAATGCCACAGTGTATGTATATGCATCCTGTGTGCAAGAGCCTGTGGATATCAACAGAGACTTAAGATCTTTGGAAATTAGAGTTACAGACAGACATGTACTGTTATGTAAGAACTGGGAAAAACTTGTGTCCTCTACTAGAGTCATGTTATACCTGTAGCTATAAGTAGATAGTGATATATAATAAATACAATAATAAAACTAGGTATTAAGGGTATAGATCTAGCATGTTCAATGACCTGGGTTCAAATCTCTAGCACTCTAAGTAAATAAAAACTTGAGCCAGATGTGGGAGTGCATGTAATTTCAACATTCAGGAGGTTGAGGCAGAAGACGGTGAATTTGCAATCAGCTCCGTACACATATAGAGTTCCAGGCCAGCCAATCATACAGAAGACCCACACTCAAAGAACAGATCTATGCTTGAATCCTACTACTCCAAACAGTATCTGACTTCATTAACAAGGAGACTCTGGGCTCCATTCCTACACCTGTCCTCCAAAGCCAAAATACTCACCAAATAGAAATCAAAAGGGATATGGGGCACAAACGGCCTGAACCTGAAACATAGAAACAATTCAAAATTATTCAAGCAGAAAGCAAGCGAGAGGTACACAATGCAACAATTCGGTTTTTGTTGTTGTTTTTGTTTTGTTTTGTTTTTGTTTTCCAGACAGAGTTTCTCTGTACAGTCCTGGCTGCCCTGGAACTCACTCTGTAGACCAGGCTGGCCTTGAACTCAGAAATCCACCTGCCTCTGCCTCCCAAGTGCTGGGATTAGAGGTGTGCTCCACCACTGCCTGGCACAATTCTGTCTTAAGAATTAAAGAGTTTCTGAGCTGTATCATTCTTAGCAAAAGGTCAAATTCACTTAGCAGGACGTAAGGAAAAGAAATGCTTTGCGTGGCTTTCTCAAAATCAAATAGAACAATCTACTCCAAACCCCTATCTACTGAAACAAACCAAGACAAAGATGCCAATAGACACACTCACCCTCCTCCAGGCCCGCCTCTGGAACCAAAGCGCCCACCACGACCACGTCCTCTGTCACCCCTAAAAATACAGATATTTTACTCTCATTTCGCTGAAAAAGGTCTCCATCACACTTTCAATGTTATTTCAATTTGACTTACCTTGACCGCCTCCAACTACGGAAGTGGATATAAATTTCATGCTCACTTCTCCCCGATTCCAAATGGTACCCAGTCCCACTCCCATGACATCCTAATTCTAGACTTTTTCTTTTTGTTCTGTTTTTGAGACAGTCTCATGTATCTCCTGCTTTACCTCCCAAGTGCTGTGATTGCAGCTTGCCACACCACACCACACTTCTAATTCAAGATTTTATCAAAGCTCACATCAGGAAAATACGAATTTCAGAACCTGATATACATAACACACACACACACACTAAATAATCCACGATCGTGAGGCACATCAGTCCTAATATTCGGAGTAAAGCGACTTCTCATTTATTAATACAGCAAAACACTTATGAGGCATGTCCTATTGGTCAAACACTGGGTACCAGAAAAATGCGCAACGCACTGCGCACGGAGGATGATCTTCCTGGTCCGTTAAGACCTCTCCTCCATGCCCTCCCCGCCTCCGAGACCCGGGTAACAACACAACTCCCCTGCTGGGCCCCGGCCCCCTCCAGGCCGGATTCCCGGAGTCCGCCAGCCTTCTACTCTACTCCCTCCAGCCAGGCTCTCCGCCAGCCGCCCAGATACAGGCCCTTGTTCCTCCGACTCCATTTCGGCCCGCCCCCCGAGGCTTCGGCAGGAACTTTCAAGCACCTCTGTCCACTTACCTCATGGCCCGCTTAATCCTGAACAATGGAGGCCACTCAACCGCTCTTCCCTTGGAAGAACCAGGCTGGCAGAGAAACGTCTGGCCGGCGTGTCCCAACAAACGCCTGCGCGATAGGCTCCCGCCTCACTCCCTCCCGCGTGTTTATTGGTTAACACTGCAACCAATGAAAAATACCCTGTAAAGGAGCCAACCAATAAGATATAACAAGGATGAAGGCAATTTTTTCCCACTGACAGTAGAGGGCGCTCAGAGTTAAGTCTGTGAATAGTAAAGTCTTTAGGGAAGGAAAAGTATACCCTAGCAGTAGGTAGCAGAGTGGCGCAGCGGAAGCGTGCTGGGCCCATAACCCAGAGGTCGATGGATCGAAACCATCCTCTGCTATCAGAGACTATACTTTTTGATTCCATTTAAAATGGACGCCTTCGTTTTGATAATACAGTTAAATTTACTTTTCCATAACCAAAGACATCATTTTATTTATTTATTTATTTTTTTTTTAGATAACGTCTTTCTTGGTCACCCTGGCTTATATAATACTCGTTAATGTAGTTCGAGCTGTCATTAAACAGCAATCTCCAGCATGTGTCACCTCACCTAAAAACATAACCTTTACCTTATGGAAATATCAGAAATAACTTAGTTCCACTTACCACCATTATTCCCTCCATATTATTATTGTTAAATGATTCTTTTTATTGAAAAAAATTCATACAATATATCTTGATCATATATTTCTCTTCCCCAATTCTACCCACATCCTCCCCACTTCCCTACGTTAGGTGATTCTGACAGTATTGATGTATTACTTACTTTCGTAGGTGTATCTTCCTTCAAAGTAACCTAACCTCACCTACATTAAAATCAAGAATACTTGACCGCGTCGGCAAGATGAGTCAGCAGGTCTAATCACAGCTACCTGAGTTCGACCTCTGAGACCCATAGTGGAAGGAAAACAGCGATTTCTGCATTTTGTTCTCCGACCTCACTATGAATGCTGGGGAGTGTGGGGGGGTGACACCCATAAATACAACATAAATAAATATAACAGAATTTTTATTTTAAAAAAGGATATTTTGGCAAATATGGTGGAGCATGCCTTTAATTATAGCACCTGGGAGGCAACAGCAGTAGGATCTCTGTGAGTTCAAGGTCAGACTATTCTTTGTAACCAGTCTATGCCAGCCAGATAAGTCTATGTAGGGAGATCCTGCTTCACAAAAAACAATATTTTATCATCTCAGAAAGGTAACCATACTGGATTTCTACTATCATGGGTTAGGTTTGCCTTTAGATTTTCTTTTTATTGGGGCTGGCTCAGAAATGGCTCAGCATTCAAGAGAGCGCACTGCTCTTTCAGGGGACTAGGATTCAGCCAATCTCTTCTGCCCTCTGGGGCATTATACGCACAAGCATATATACATATATATAAACCCGACCTTGTGGTGCATGCCTTTAATCCCAGCACTGGGGAGGCAGAGGCAGGTGGCTCACAACTGTCTGTACTCCAGTTCCAAGGGTTTGAACATAGTTCTCTGACATCCACAGGAATCAGGCATGCTCATGGTGCACAGACATATATTCAAGCAAAACACTCATACACATAAAATAAGCAAATCTAAAATATATTTTAAGCTGTTGCATGTAATGCTGTAATGAATAAAGTTTGTTCATTATTATGTGTGCATGATTTGAGGTGAGGAGAACTTGCCACAGTCAAGTCCCGGTGAGTCGTCTACCTTTTCCTGGGTCCTTCGGATCTACCCCACATAGTCTCTCATGTAAACTTGGCCTAGAACTTTCTATGTAGACCAAATTAGTTAGCCTAGTACTCATAACTCCTCATGCTGCAGCCTGCCAAACACTGGGCAGAGGTTACAACCCAGTTGGTGCCACTATACCCACCTCTGCCTCTTACCCTCTTTTAATTTCTAAATGATCATCTTTTGTATTTATTTATGTGTGTGTGTACGTCTGTGCCATGCACGCACGTAGATGAGAGGACAACTTGCAGGAGTCAGTTCTCTGCTTCTTCGTGCATCCTCATACTTTTTGCAGCAACTGCCTTTACATCTCCAAGATCCAGTCTGGGGTCAGGGGTGGGGTCAGGGGAGGGGGAAGTCTGACTTCTTTCACTTGCTCCATGGTGAAACTCTTCTGTGATTTTTGGAATTTGATATTTTGTTTTGTTTGTCTTTGTTTTTGTTTATTTGGTGGTTTGGTTTGGGCCTTTGGAGGCAGGGTTTCTTCATGTAGTCCTGGCTGGCTATCCTGGAATTTGCTCTGTGGACCAGGTCGGCCTTGAACTCAGAGCTCTGCCTGCCTCTGCCTCACCAGTGCTGGGATTAACGTGGCCACCAAGCTCTGCCTTGGTTTGGTCTGGTCTGGCCTGTTTTTTTCTCTGTGAATCTCTGGCTGATCTGAAACTCACAAAGATCTCCCTCCACTCCTCTCAGTTCCTCACTTCCTTCTTCCCCAGGTCAACTAACTACTCCTCTGTTTCCCTTCAGAGAGGGTGGGAGAGGGAGAAAGTGAGCAGGTCTCCCAAGGATAGCCACTGAACTTGGCCTAACAAGACTACAGTAAGACTGGACATGAATCCTCATATCACAGTTGGACTTGACAACCCAGTAGGAGGAAAAGGGTCCCACATGCAGGCAAAGGAGTCAGAACCAACACCCACTCTGGTTGCTGGGAATCCCACAAGAATATCAAACTATACAATCATAAAGTATATGCAGATGACCTAGCTTGGACCCATATTTAGTTTGGATTTACTGCTTCAGTTTCTGTGAGCCCTACTGAGCCTGGATTCTATGTTCTTATAGTGTCCTCTACCCCTCTGCCTTCTACAATCCTTCTTCCCCTCGTCTTCTGGGTACCCTTGGGTCCCCCTAGTGTTTGGTTGTGGGTCTCTGCATCTGTTCCCAGCAGTTTCTGGAGGAAGCCTCTCTGATGACTATTGGGCTAGGCACCAATCTATGAGTGTCGGAATATCATTAGGAATCATTACATTGACTTGTTTTGTTTTGATTTTTGGGCCAGTTGTGTTTGGTTCTATCCTAGGTCTCTGGACTGGTTCCTGGTCATCCAGGGAGTGTCAGACTTGGGATCCCTCTAGTGCAGTGGGCCATAAGTTCGACCAGTCATTGGTTGGCCACTTCCATAAGTTCTGTGCCATGCCACCATTGCCTCAGCATGTCTTGTAGGCACAATAGATTGTAGATCGAAAGGGTTGTGGCTGGGTTGGTGTCTCATTCCTACTGCTAGGAGCCTTGCTTGGTTTTAGAAGAAGGCCAGTTTGCCCTCCATATCCCCCACTAATAGGTGACCTCACTAGGGTTACTCTCGCAGATTCCAGGGAGTGTCCACTGCCCTGGGTTTCTACATCAACTCCCAAATGCCCCCACCCCAATTCCAGTCATCTCTCCCAGGACTCTGTCGTTCCATTCCCCCCTCTCCCTCCCTGGCTGATCCCTCCTGTTCCCATCTCCACCCACCAACAAAATCTATTTACTCTTCCCAGGAAGATTGTAGCATGATTGTACCTGACCTAACAGCTAATGTCCACTTACAAGTGAGTACACACCATGTTTGTCTTTCTGGGTCTGGGTTACCTTACTCGGGATGATCTTTTCTAGTTCCATCCATTTGCTTGCAAATTTTATGATGTCACTGTTTTTAACTTCATTGTGTGAATGTGTCACATTTTCTTTATCCATCTTTAACCTAATGTTGAAGGACATCTGTTGGGAGCCGACTCCTAGCAGAAAGCAGCTATCATCTTTGCAGCCATCTCAGGCCATATACCCTGACAAGAGACTTGTTTTCAACAGCCTACAACAGCTGAGCACACTCTGATAAACATCTTGTTTTTCTCACATATCTTGTTTTGTTGTTTAGTGCCCCCAGCTGCAAGGCGCACGTGGTAAAGTGTCTTCGGCTGTGTTCCCCTGCTTGTCCACGGCTGCAAGGCGCACGTGGTAAAGTGTCTTCAGCTGTGTTCCCCTGCCTGTCCACGGCTGCAAGGCACATGATGAAGCATATAAACACCCAGGATTCCCTTTCAATAAAGGGGACTTGATCAGACTCTGTCTTACCTCCATTCTTCACATCTCTTGCCCCTCCATCCCCACTCTCTCTCTTGCTAGACCATGTTGACTGATCGGGACACTTGGTGCCTAAGCGTGGGGCAGTGCAGACCGAGTCATCTGGCGCTAAATGTGGGGCAGAATGGACTGGGTCAGACATCTAGGTTATTTCCAGTTTCTAGCTATTACAAAAAAAAAAAAAAGGTGCAATGAACATGGTTGAGCAAGTGTCTTTGTGATAGAATGGAGCATCCTTTGGATATGTGCCCAACAGCGGTACAGCTTGGCACTGAGGTAGATAGATTTCCAGTTCTCCAAGAAACTGCCATATTAGTCAGGCAGTGGTGGCGCTCGACTTTAATCCCAGCACTTGGGAGGCAGAGGCAGGTGGATTTCTGAGTTTGAGGCCAGCCTGGTCTACAGAGTGAGTTCCAGGACAGCCAGGGCTACACAGAGAAACCGTGTCTCGAAAAACCAAACCAAAAAAAAAAAAAAAAGAAAGAAACTGCCATATTGATTTCCATAGTAGCTGTACTAGTTTGCACTCCCAGCATCAATGGAGGAAGGTTCCCCATGTTCCACATCCTCCCCAGCATGGGCTGTCACTTGTGTTGTTGAAAATAACCATTCTGACAATATAAGATAGAATCTAAAAATAATTTTGATTTTCACTCCCCTGATGGCTAAAGATATTGAGCAAGAAGTCTTTTATTTTTCTCAATGCATTATTCACCTGATTTGCTTATAGGGGACCTGGTGGTGGGACCAGAAGGACCTGGTGCTTCCTTCTGTTGACCCCTAACCTGTAGCACCTTGCAGGAGTACATTCGTGTCCATACTGACCTGTATGATAAGACCATTGTAGGAGGAGATGATTTTTCAATATCTCACTTAGCCGGGCGGTGGTGGCACACGCCTTTAATCCCAGCACTTGGGAGGCAAAGTCAGGTGGATTTCTGAGTTTGAGGCTCAGCCTGGTCTACAGAGTAAGTTCCAGGACAGCCAGG